AAAGAGTTCAAGAAAATCGAGCAAACCTGAGACCCAGTCCAGGGTTTGAGAATTAACCCATAACTATTTTGTATCAAATAACTTTTAACGAATATTTGTGTAGAATCATTCAAATTATAGATTCTAGATTTGCTGCATCGATTGATTAATTCATTGATTTGCTGACTGACTGACTGATCAATTTATTAAAAGATTGATTTACTGACTGACTGGCTGACTGACTCACTGACTCACTGACTGACTGACTCACTGACTGACTCACTGACTCACTGACTCACTGACTCACTCACTGACTCACTGACTGACTGACTCACTGACTCACTGACTGACTGACTCACTGACTGACTCACTGACTGACTGACTGACTCACTGACTCACTGACTCACTGACTGACTCACTGACTCACTGACTGACTGACTCACTGACTCACTGACTGACTCACTGACACATTAATTGATTGACTAAAGCGGTGGTCACAGAGGGTAACTTTAAAAAGGCATTAAGGCATTTGTATTTTCAAATTACAACGCTTACTGATAACATGCTGTAAACATCCTATTTTTTTCGTTTGTTAACAAGTACCTGTTTTACTGACAGCAGAAATCCTCGGCTAACTCAAAAATGAAACCAAAGTTCTGGCTGACGGTCGTAGTAACGTTTCTGATGTCATGGATGGGTATTATTAGCGCTACAGACCAATGTCATTTAGGAGAACGCTCCATTCGTGGTATATTCCTCAGAGGTCATACATTTTTAACGTTTCGGGTTGGTTTACCTGCGGAGTGCTATAGACGGTGCGAAAACGAAGTCACGTGTCAGAGCATTAATTTTGTCATTGGCCAGAATATCTGTGAACTGAACAATCGTACAAAGGAGGCAAGACCGGAGGATATTATGCAAGATCAGACGAGATACTACGTAAAAAGGCTTAAAAGAGGTAAGTTTCGAGCTTCAAGTCTTTCTTTTTCTTTTGTTTCCCCAAAGAGGCGGAAAAAACCTTGTAAAAGTTTCCCTTTTGCTAACGTTAAACTTGTATGTGCGCAAAGCACCGCCTTCCAACGCCAACGTTGCTTCAATTTTTCCAACGCAGTTTCTTCGTTTCTAATCAAGAAATTTTAACGACCAGGGGGTTGGCCGATTCTGAAAATCGATTTACGGTCATGAACAGAGAAACAAGCCAAAAGATAAAAAAAAGTTTGTATTGGGGTGCACCTTTAGACTTGGGCTTTAGTCAATGCTGGCAAGACATTCTCATAATTTTCGGAGAATTTACTCATCGATAACAAAAGGAAATAGAAACACCAGCTGGAAAAGTAATTTTTTTTTTTGCGCTTCATATGTGGCGTAGTATCATGAAATACATGCACTTGTTGTTCTCAGTATTTTGCCATGTGACTATGCTAAGCTGTAAGAGTAAAATTTCACTAATTCTTATTTTTGGTAAATGACGTTTCTTTCTTTTTCTGGCCCAGTCCCCCTTGGATCCATCAAAGAATTTCCGGCGGAAACGTGCAGCGAGATCCAAGCGAGTGAAGGCAACGACACGGCTTACAGGAAATACTGGATTTCCTCTGATGGGAATGGTAAGGCCATCGAGGCCTACTGCCAAGGTAAAATTATTAAGTGGATAACTAGAGGGGTACAAAATTCTTGTGCCTTTTAGACCACTCCGTATCGTTATAATATGATTGGAATATTGGTAGACTTTCTGTGTTAGTGCATGGTTAAAATTTTTTTATCATGCCTATTTATGAAGACGAAGTAAAGTGACAAATATATTAAATCAGTTTTGCTACCTGCCATTTGTGAGGCTCTAAAATAGATTTAGCGACTTAAGTGTTACTGACAGGTAATAAATATATTTTCCTATTCTCGAAATTAAATTTGCATTCTGATGCGGTAAAATGACAGCTAAATAGCTGTTATTAAATATCTTCTAATTTACTAAAATAGCTTTTGAAAACATTTTCAACCGTGGTGTTTTTTTTTTCTTGCGTAGAGTTCAATCATCCTTATGTTATTTTACTTAATCTTATGTTAGAGAGCTGGCAGAAGATAAATGGTAAAGAACCAGTCTGCTTTGGAGCCAAAGGAGAGGACTACGGCGCCTTCGTTATGACAAAGAGTGGGCGACTGAAGACAATGAAGCTCATTTACCGGTCAGGGTGGGTGAACTGTAACCCAACTTACGATGATTCTTACTGGGGATGCAAAAATCCTGCTTATGGCAACATGTTGATGACAGTCGTTACAAACGACAACAAAAAAGCCGTCTTTCCTCCTTCCGAAGAATTGGAAACGATTAAGGGTGGATATGACAAGCACTGCTACACTCTTGAGGGAACCGGCCACAATTCATCAGAGCTTGTATTCAACCACCTCTCCAACCCCTTGTTTGTGTCGCTCACCCAAGAATTACAAATATGGTACGGACAAGATTGGATCGATCTATCAGAAAGTGTAAATAGCGGAAAAGTCTGCGTTGATGTGTATGCATGGTACGCCTGAGGGAGTTATAATGCGGCATTATGTGTGTCTCAAAAAAGAAATTTGCCAATTTTTTTTTAAGTTGATCGGTGATTTACTTCCGTATTCATTTCGTCAGAAAAATATTGAAGTCGTTTTAATTTGTAGTTTGTGACAGTTGCCCTATGGTGTGCCTTATTTCTGAGTTAAAAAAACTGAGCTGTCCTTCACTTTGTTTGAGAAGTTTTGTAGAATTCTTATTTCTATTTATATGGCAAGGAACACATTGTTTTGGTGTGTGAGTTTGGACGCTAGCAGATGGTAGGTTGAGTAAATTAGCAAATAGAAACTAGCACTTCCAAAGTCAGATTTTCCACTCTATTTACTGTTGTGACCTGTCGAAACCACGTCGAATCAAGGTTAGAACGATGTTTTCACCAAAAAAATGCAACAAAAACGATTGTGTCCTCGCCCAAAAAAGGATCAAACTATGATTTTTGCCATTTACGCTAAGCCGGGTGAAATAGAGAACGTACCAATTACCGGCTCATTCAGGTCTGTACGAGATTTGAACCCATGACCTCTGCGATACCAGTACAGGCCTGAATTTTGCTATCATACTTTAGCAAGGCAACAGTAATGCTAATGTTATCTCTTAGATTCACTAGTGTAATTAATGATGTAGATAAGTGTAGCAAATGAAGTGTATTTTACACACGTTATATGAATAGAAAGAACCAAAAATTAATAATTTAATTTTCTTCAGTTCTGAAAGTACATTTATCACTTAACAATCGCTCCCTAAAGAAGAATCTAGGGAAAATTTTTTTTTGTTATGACAATTGCGGCCCCTCGAGCCTACTCTTATACGAGTTATTCGAACTCAAGGTCTCTTGTAATCTCGAACCGTATCCTTCCGTGTGACTAAAATGTAGGACATTACCAACGCTAGGCTGTGGAAGGTCTGAACAAGAGAATAACTCAGTCTTGATACAATCTGAGTAATTTAGGCTTTGAAGATTTTCTCACTAGTATCCACCTTTAAAAAAAAAAATGCCTGAATAAAGTCTTAGCACCCTGGATCTATTACCGTAGTCGTTTTTTGGCCCTAATTTTGTAGAGTGCTGGAAAATGAGTGAGACCAGTGTGGCCCTTGAGGTCAGGAACAGTGCCCTCCTCCGATGGTAGAAATGTGAACTTGTGCAGCATCCACGTTAGGAACAGAAACAGCTCTACCTACGAGAAAAGATAGCTTATTTTTCGCTTGTTCAGGCGATCTATTGGTAAAGCGAGGCGTGATAGTACACAGCGTTATAGTAAAAAAAACGAGAGAGGCCTGGGTGGGTCGCGTAATGACCCGACCCAGACCTCCCTCGCCTTTTCACTCCTCTGCAGCTATTGCGAAGTTTGGTATTTCGCTCCGTTTTCCTAACTGAACGCCCATGACTTGTTAGTTTATCTGGCTTGTCCCAAGTAACAGAGACTTGGCCGGGAAACACTCCTACTTGTCTAACAAGTTTTACAATATCTATTGATGACAGCAACGAAACGCACTCTATAAATATATAACTGGACAAAATAGTTTGTTAATTTAGCCATGAACTCGGAGATGACAAATGACAGAAATTTTGAAACATAAAAAAAGAGAGGGGCACATGGATATTGTGCATAAAAAAATATTGTAAACTTTCTTTACAGATTTCTGAGTCTCGCGGGTAAATCAAACTTTAGCATCTTTCTCTTACCTTTGCCAGTGCTTCACCAGCACAGACCCGGCGACCAGCTGAGAAGGGAAGAAAGTTACCAGTGTTGGTAATGAGCTGACCATCAGCGTCAATATGGCGGTGAGGGTTGAAAGAGTACGGATTCTCCCAGCAGCCTGGATCCAGATGAACTTGTGCTAAAGTAGCAAATACGATGGTATCTTTTGGAATCCTGAAGCCAGCTAGCGTGGTGTCCTTAAGCGTGTAGTGAGGAATGGTATTTTCTGCAACATTACCAAGACGTTGTGTTTCCATGATCATGGCCTGAACAAGTGGAAGATTTGGTAGATCATCTAAGTTCGGCACCCGATCCTTTCCAACCACTTCATCTAGCTGGTTTTGAACCTCTTTTTGAATTTTAGGGTGGTGAACCAGGAATGCAATGGCCCAGCGTAAGGTAGAACTAGTGGTGTCATAACCAGCGACAAACATGTCTCTCATATTACTCAGCATGTATTCGTCTGATAAGAAAGCAACTCTCTCTTCTGCACCAACCTCATTTTCAGCTACAGCCCTTTCTTGGAGAAAACTGCCAGTGAGGCTGTCAATCTCTGTCGAGTTGGAAGACTCTCTCTCCTGTATCTTTAACTGGCGACGAAGAATTTCGTAAACCTGATCAAGCATGTTGTTCATGAGTTGGTAGGCACGGAATGGGAAGTATTTTGCTACGGGAAAGAAATCCAAAATAAATCTTTGTGTATTAATTTCATAATCAGAAAAGAAATCGTCGTTTAGTTTGAGAAGTTCCTTGAAATCGGAATGCGATGAGTCAAAACGTTTTCCAAATAAGATTCGACAGCTGACGTTGGCAATACTTTCCATCAGCATGTTTGCAGGGTCAAAGTCCTTCAAATTTTGGTCTTCGAAGTACTGCGTTAGTTTCGTTGCCTGCTCGGCGATTGTTTTTTCTACCACTTGCTTGTCAGACAGATACCGTCTAATGGCTGCCACGAAGATTTTTCTATGAAATTTCCAGGCAGGGCTGTAATTTCCTACGGCAATGTCTTTCCCGTCTTGAAAGCAAAATTAAAAGTAATAATTAACAACTATTCACCAAAGTGGAGGTGGTTCACTGCTTCACTCGACACTGAAGTCGACACTTCAGTGGACACTGCTTCGTCGTTAATTTGAGTGATTTCTTCTCCTGTCCCGGATGCAAACCGGGACGCCATTTTTACCCGAGTTGCTCGGAGGTAAATACCAAAGGATATTCGGAGTTTGATTAGCCAATCAGAGCGCGCCTTCAACGCTATCCATTGTTTTAGTATATACTAATGATGATTAGTCCATTTTACAGTTGCGTGCTTGGTTGCCAAGCCTTTGAATAGGAGTGAGGCTAAGGGTGACTTTGTTGCGATACAAAGACTGCTGCTTTTCAATTGTAAATTACTTTGTTATTAGATTCTAGTCTCTATCACAACAAGGTCACCATCGGCCTCACCCCAAATCACATACTTGGCAACTAAGTACACAATTGTAGATGGCCTATTGGTCTTGATCATGGGAAACCTGATAAATTCATAAGAGCTGAATCGTAATGGCGGGTTGGATTCTTTGGTGAAAAGACATAACTGTCAAGGTTGAGATCAGTCAAAAAGGTAATCTTACACCTTCAGAGAAGGTCAAGATGAATCGTTTATTAGAGTTTTCTAAATAAAGATACTTGTATATTCATCGATTGTCACTTTTCTTCAAATTCCATTTATATTGTTGCATCGACAACCATTATATAGGCAGCCCTCTCCCCCGATTACCATCGAGAATAACTTTTGCTTAATTTTTTCCAGTGTCTGATTCATAACCATCAATTTCTCTGATTGGTTCCAAGTAACCCCAATTTACCAGAATTCGTTGCGGGTTTGACATGTCCAGTTTGAACGTAGTTTACAAGACTCATAGACTGTAGCCTAGCGCTCAAACTTACCGAAAGTAGAACGCAGGAAGCTATATAAAGGAGGTCTCCCGGCGTAATCAGCAGACTTTCGTACCAGCAATTCTTTGACTGATGCTGTATCCCCGGCAATTACTACTTTGAAGCTTCCAATTTTCACGGAGAACACTTTCCCGTACTTCTTCCTCAAGCTATGAGAAAAAAGAAGCAGAAAATGTGTCAAATAGGACATCCAAACGCAGCTTGGGTTAAACATCGTTAGATAAATAAGCTTTCTCCTCTCACTGATATCACTACGGCTGATACGACATAGAACTGACTTTGTTGAGATTTCGACCTTTAGAACAACTAGACCATGTATCAGTTAGATTTTTAAGCAGTGACATGGAAGTCTCTACTTTTTCTCCACTGTTTTCAGCCATAGAACTAGATAAATCTCGCGTAGCGCAGTTTATTCATTGAACAACAAGGCTTTTAAAGCTTGGCGAAATTTAAAGTCGTCAGATCATACTAAAAGACGTTCAAAAACGATTTTCGACTTGAAAAGAAAGAGAAAGAATAGCTTCTGCAATCAATCCGGCCTTGCTTTAGGCAAGGGAGGTACGGACAGATATTTTTTGCCGTCATAATGCTTTAGTCAGAATATCGAGCATAAAGCCGGCATGTGACTAAACTTAATGCCGAGATGTGACTAAACTTTCTAAACCATTCCAGTTCAATTTGAGATCAATTCTGTAGCTCGAGAAGGTCAAGAGTGAATCTGCTTGGCTTGCTTGCTATATAGGAATTTTATCCATTAAAATATTGTGTTCTGAACATCAAGGCCACGTATCTTTCCGCAGGCAAAGAGAAGCTCGTGGCGAGGTGCTAATATATCGAGGGTCTACTTGCAGACTAAAAACCTAAACAGATAATAACCTAAAATAGATATTTCGCTCTTTATTTCATGCCCCACTGATTGTGAGAGGCGACAAAAATTCAACTTGTTTACATACACGACGCAGTTTAAACGTACAACGAGTTCGCTGTGCGTGCGAAATCTCTTTTTGACCCATGTTAGATAGATAACTTTTAAACTTAAAAGTTCATTAATATGTTAAAAATATGACGTCCAAAGTAATTACTTAGGCTTTCCGAAGGAAACGCCCGAGGTCTAAATTCGGCTGTGTTTTATTTTTTTTTGCGTTCAGTCACAAAACTCAGTTCCATTACAGCGCATGCGTATTATGTAAGCGCATGCGTGGAATGAACCCTAGAGCGCATGGTTTATGCAAGAAAGCAAATGGCTGCCTTCGTGGACGATCCCTTCCTTCACGTACCCGAAAGAAATTCCATGGCTATTACGCCCAATTAATATACCAAGTCACACACCGTTCGCGGTAGAACTGCACTAAAACTTGTGGAGCGATTTGGGAACGGGTACCCAGGTCCCAGAGGTTCTCTTGTCTCTAAAAAAATAGGAAAAATCTCTTCTCCCTAAAAAAATCTTCGCCAAGCGCCGACAACCAGCTGCGAAGCAGCAAGCAGTCGAGAGAACAGCTGAATGCATCAAAGTGAGGTTCTCAACGAATTACGCGCGATCCTTTACGAGTGAACCTCTTATCGAAAAATATCAAGCGAAACCTGCTATATCAAATGAGTTATGACAGGAGCAACCGTGTATTTAGACGTGATCGAGAACCCAGTAGAATACCAGAAGCTACTCTGAAACGTCTCAGAACAAAGGGCAGAAAACTGAAGGAATTTGTTTATGTGCGCATTCGTTCAAGCATACCTAAGTCCTCTTGGCTACGTCGTTGTGTGAAGGTTAGAAGAGTTACAAAGAATATTTGTAAGCTTAATACGAAGAGGGTAAGATTAAATAAAGTTACAAAACATGATTAGAAGTATTTGTTGAATTGTTCAGTAAGGGTATATCAGAGGATAATGAAATTGAAGTATAGAGCAAGGTGGTATTTACCAACGATTTCTTGTTATAGACCCTTGTGTCTTTATAAGAGTCAGACACACGCATCAAACTATTGAAAATTTCAACTGAGTTCAGATGGTGAGAAAAATCCTGGTCCTACTTGACCCTAGCAAAACAATAATGGCACCATATAGCCAAGATAATGAGTTGGTATTTGGACAAACTTCAGGACAATAATGTGTTGCAATGAGTTTATGCTCTTTGATTTACAATAATAAACAAGGAATCAATTCTGCTAATGATCTCTTGTCAATAATGAGTATTGGAAATCAGTTGTATTCAAGTTTGTCTCAGTTCACCAGACAATCATTTTTAATGCAGACAGAATTACCCACACTTTTAAATGTGTTCAAGACTGAAGAGCCTTTCAATCACTTTTATCCGAAAATTTCAACAATTTTGTCTTGACAATAGGATGTACTGCAGTTGCTATCTATTGTAAAGGTAATGTGGGCTTGAAAATATTCGATTCTCGTGCAAGGCATATTTATTGTAGAAGCCATCCTCAAGGTACATGTGTGCTGCTTGAAGTATCA